CCGACTCGAAGCTGAAGCGAAGGGTCAATATGAAATTCTGGCCAAGAAGGGTGAAGGTCTCCAACGCATCATCGAAGCTTGCGGTGGCTCCGAACAAGCCTTCCAGATGATGATGCTCGAACACCTCGACAACCTGACCGAAGCCTCAGCGAAAGCCATCTCGAACATCAAGTTCGATAAGGTGGTCGTCTGGGAAAACGGTGGGCAAAACGGCACCAGCAACACGGCCAACTTCTTGCAGAATATGGCCCGCACGTTGCCGCCGATGATGCAAGTGATGAAGGACATCGGTGGCATCGAAATGCCCGAGGCCCTGGCCAAGCTGCACAGCACCGAGGGGCACGAGAACAACAAGCCCGCTCCCCGCCCCGAGGTGGCCGAAGCCGACGGCAAAGAGACGCCCCCCACGGCCTAAGTTCACCGGGTAGGTCGGACTGCATCCGTGATCGATCGGCCGTTTGCCTCGCCAAAACGTCAGCGGTACGATGGGTGGCCCTTGGAAAGAAGCTTACTGGTTCAAGAGCCACCCCACGGAGAGTTTTGATGCCGCGGATCAAGCATGTCGTGCTGATGAAGTTCAAGCCTGAGGTCACCCAGGAAACGATCGACGGCATCGAAGCCGACCTGAAAGCCATCCAGCAGAAGCTCCCAGGTATGCTCGAGTTCTCCATGGGCCCCAACGTGAGCCAAGAGGGCGTGAGCAAAGACTTCACGCATGGCTTTGTGATGACGTTCGCCAGCCTGGCCGACCTGCAAGCCTATCTGCCGCATCCCGATCACGTGGCGGTGAAGCCGAAGATCATCAACAACCTCGCTGGTGGTCTCGACGGGGCCATGATCATGGACTGGGAAGAGCCCGCCTAACGCGATTCCTCGGCTCGGCCGGCTGTCATAACCCATAAAAACCGCGTGATAAGTACGCCCCAGGGTCCCCCAGCCAGTGGCGGTAGGCTACATTGGTTTAGCGGCCAGACAACCTGGTCTGCAGGCCGAATGAATTTAGTCAGGCTGCAAGCAGTGCAGCGGCGGCTTCTTGTTTCTTCATCACCCAACCGGAGACCGAGCGTGCGACGCAGTGCAAGGCGTTTGTCACTCAGTCTGGGTTGGCTGATTCTTGCCGTATCCGCTTCGGTCGTTTCGGCCGAGGGGATCGAACGGAAGTTCCACGCCTGGGGTCGCTTCAATGTGGGCGCGTCGAAGCACGAGAAGATTACCACGCAAAGCTACGACGCCGAGGGCAACCTGGAAACAACCAGCGTCACCGATAAAGTCACCACGCTTACCGCTGTCGAGAACGACAGCTACACACTTAAGATCGAAACCACCGTCGAGGTCGCCGGCTCACAGGTGCAGTCGACCACAACGTTGCAGCGTGGGTTCGACGATGTGGAGTTCAGCAAGCCCAGCAAAGGCACCGCCACGGTGGTGGCCGAAGGCACGGCCAATGTACTGGTGGACGAACAACCGATTCCGGCCCAGGTATATCACGCCACATCGGCCGGCAAGATCGAGCGGACCGTAACCAAGTTGTTCTACAGCCAGGAACCGCCCTACCTGCTGAAGAGTGAAACCACGCGGATCCCCGTCGCCGGCGGTCCGCCCAGCCGTACGACTTTCGATGTGATGTCGCTGGATATCCCCTGGAAGGTTGGCGCCGATCTGCACTCCAGCGCCATCGCCCGACGCATCCGCCGCCACCCCAAAGGCCGTGCCGTCGAGTGGTCAGTCATCGTCAGCGACATCCCCGGCGGCATCGTAGCCGCCAGCACCAAAGAGCAGGACGCCCAAGGCAACTTGCTTAGAAGAAGCGTGCTGGAGTTGCTGGACTATGAGGTGAAGTGAGGGTGGGCCGCTGCCTCCTTGCCTTAACGTGCATTCGGTTCAGCGTCACCTTCATCTTCTGCCGCCGTACCTAAGTCCCAAATCCTTAGGGAAAAATGGCCGAATTGCTTATCGCTCCTGGGCGACACATCAAACAAGGTGACGGTGGATTTTTCAATCTCATATTCCACCGTTACACCTGAGAAATATCCAACGGGGGCAGATTCGAGCGCGGTCGCAATCTCTGCGGCAAGAGTCTCCGGCGTTAGCAACCTTCCTTCCACGTTTCGATTGAACTGAAGAAGGAAGGCACCGTTAAGAAAGCTCTGCCGTAAAGACTTTCCCATATTCCGTTCAGCCACAAAATCAAAAGCCAGAGCTTCGCAAAGCGGACGTTCTGCTCCGGTCAATTCGATCTCTTCCTGGATCCGCTTCATTTCTTCAGTAGCATGCGATCCCACGTCGTCTATCCACATAGCTTGTTGGCTAGAGAGGCGTAATATCAATGCCTGTTGCTCAAGGAGAGAGGGGCGATAAGGCAGCGAACTCCAGTAATTCAGCTTCCGTTGAATCGCCTCCCCTGGGATGACCTCTTCAAGCCATGCCGGTGAGACATCCGGGACATCCAGGAGCACGTTGAACAACTCTTGGTTGTCTTCATCTTCCAAGTTCTGAATTGAAGTGAGCGCATTGGCTCGTGTATTGAGCACAAGTTGCCTCCATTGAAAGTTCTGCTCCAATTCCTTTAGCCGGTTCTCGAGAATGTGGGCCGAACCTCTACTCCAAGGGGCTGTGTTCGACCAGTTGGAGATCATTGAATTTCCACGAAAATACTGCGCAGTAGCTTGATAGTGGCATGGATCTAGTAGGCCGCCGCAGCGGTTCCGAAAGGCGTCGCCCAAATTGAAATAACCAAGCACGGTCGCTAATGCGAGAGATTCGTCTTTCAACCGCAAGCTGCTTACCATTTGCGCATTTAAGGCCGCTTCGATCCGTTGCAACTCATCGCTAAAGCCCGTTTGGCCATGCCAGGGAGAAGGGTCCGTGAAGTCATATTCGAACCAGCAGTCTCTGCGTTGTGCAATTTCGGAGATTTGACTCAAGGTGTTTTCATTCAAGGTCACGATTTCGTCGATTCTCTTGTATTCCTCTTCCATTACCTGGATGCGTCCGTCGTCGTTACCACTGCGAACAATAGACTCCGCACGGGAAACAATAGGCTCATCCTCCTTGGTCATCTGCAGTTGCCGACACAATGCCAGCAGCTCCTTCGCATCGTCAGAGGGATTCTTCCCAGGCCCGGGATCCAAATCACTGAACCAAACCGGCTCGTCCTTGTCACGGGCTGCAGCAATGGCGGCGTCCAGCCTGGCTCGGGCAGAAGCGTAGCGCAATGCGTAATACGAAGCTGGCGCCAGAAGAAACAAAGCGATGGCGGCAACGATCAACCACCTCACCCGCCGTGAGAGCGTTCGCCAGACTGGAATTCTGCCCCTAATCACGGTGCCCCTTCTTCGCTGGAAGTTTCGTTACCGGTGTCGGCCTCAGCGGCATCATGGCTGCTAAGCGTCAGTGTGAATTCCCCCACGTGCTTGCCATCCACGGGATTGATATCGTAAAGCGAGATCATGGAACCTTCGATCTTATATTCCAGAGGCTTACCGGAAAAATACCCAGCGGGCGCGTCGGCGATGGTGCCCTTGATGAGGGAGAAAACTTCATCAGCTCCTGCTACCTCGCTTTCCGCGGCAGGCAGTAACTTGAGAAGTAGCGACGCACTTTGCAGTCGTTGTCGGGTCGCCATCACTCGTTCGCGGCATAAGACCAGGTCGTTCAGTAAGATCGGCAGCAATGGCATTTCATCTTCTCGATCGAAGGGCATCTGCGCCAGCGACGCCAATTCATTGGCGGCCTGGGGGCCAGGAACATCAATTATTTGCGACTGTTGCTTCATCAATTCGAGGGCAATCGCCCGTTGGTTCAGCAATTGAGGGCGCATCACGAGCGAGTTCCACCGCGCAATCTGTCGCTCTTCGGGAGTTGCATAGAAGATGGACTCCCACCAACTCGAGTTATTCGGAGATATCACTCCCGATTTCGATTCGGAAATCGAATAGGCAACAAACACTATGTTATCAGGATCTTGGAGATTGCAGATTGTTGTGTGAAGAGCCGCTCTTTCTTTAAGCACCGTGGGTTCCAAGCGAAAGGCTTTCTCGATCTCGGCCAGTCGTTCCGCCACGGCAATCGCCAAATCTGGAGCTAGCGGCGACTGCTGCGAACGAAACTCAATCAACGAAACTCCTCGGTCAATCCAAGACCCGCGAGTCAACTGAGATACCAGGAAGGGTTCGTTGCGCAGACATTCCGGCAAGTCGAAATACCTTGCCAACGACGTTCGAAATACCGCGTCATCTCCCGAATCAATCGCCATCAGTACATCTGCCGTTGCGGCACGCCGGGCATCGGGGATTACTTCACTAATGTGAGGCATCAGAACCGCTGGGATCGCGGTCGTTTCGTAGTCGTACTCGAACCAGCAATCTCCACGCTTGGCTAGTTCCGCCATGCGTACAAGAATTTTGGCGTTCTTCGCGGCGTAGTTTGCCAGCTGTGCTTTTTCAGCCGGGGTGAACTCGACGCCCTGCTCAACACACTTGCGGTGGTGCAATGTCGATACCTTGGCCTGAATCGGATCATTAGATTCCCAAACCTCGAGCCCGTTTCGTAGCGCCAAGAACTCCCCCATGTCTTTCGAAGGATTACTCCCAGGACCGGGATTCAACTCCCTGAATTGCAGAGGTTCGCCGTTCGCCTTGGCATCAGCAATCGCCGCGTTTAATCGCATCCGGGCTGGGAAGTACAAGCTGGCGTAGACCATGACCAGGGCGAGGACCACTGCGCCTAACCCCGCAACGGCCAGAAACCAGCTTTGCCGGTGTAGTGGCCGGTTCTGCGAAATTGTGGTTTCTATCATGCATAATTTCCTTCGCCGTGGCTCGGCAGGGGGCGATTGCATACCCGCAATTCGATTGTACCCGGGCTGGTCCGGCGGGAGCGAATCAGCGGCAAGACCATCGTCGAAACCAATTCGCGACTGCCCGGGCGGTGGACAACAATTGGGCCGGCGCGGCATAATTCGGGACTATCCTCATAGCCCGACCGGAGACCCTGCCGCCATGGACGAAAAGTTTCTGCCGACTGCGATCACCTTCGACGATGTTCTGCTCGAGCCGCGGTACAGCGATGTGGTGCCTTCCGAGGTCGACGTCTCGACCATGCTCACCAAGCAAATCCGGTTGAATATCCCGTTGATCAGCTCGCCCATGGACACCGTGACCGAGAGCGAGATGGCCATCGCCCTGGCGCAAGAGGGTGGGCTGGGTGTGATCCACAAGAACATGTCGATCCAGAACCAGAGCGACGAGGTCGGCATCGTCAAACGCAGCGCCAACGGGATCATCTCCGACCCCGTGACCATGACCCCCGATGCTACCGTCGGTCAGGCTCGCGAAATCATGGAACAGCACAACGTCTCGGGCGTGCCAATCGTGGCCGACAAGAGCGGCCGTCTGGTGGGCATTCTCACGCGTCGCGACCTGCGTTTTTTGGAGACAAATGACCTGCCAATCTCCGAAGTGATGACGCGAGAACCGCTGGTGACAGCAACGGGAGCTGTAACGCTTGAGGAAGCTGAAAAGGTATTGATGGCAAATAAGGTCGAGAAACTTCTCCTGGTTGACGACAACTACACACTGACCGGACTCATTACGATCAAAGATATCGATAAGATGCGGCGGTTCCCGCTGGCCTGTAAAGACGGGCAAGGTAGGTTGCGGGTCGGAGCCGCAGTTGGAGTACACGACTACGAACGAATCGAGAGCCTGATCGCCGAAGACGTCGACGTGCTGATTGTCGATAGCGCACACGGGCACTCTTCGAACGTTTTAGAAACCGTTCGTGAAATCAAGAAACGATGGGAGATTGATGTCGTTGCTGGCAATGTCGCCACGCGGCAAGGTTGCCTCGACCTGATCGAAGCAGGGGCCGACGCCGTGAAAGTCGGGATTGGCCCCGGATCGATTTGTACCACCCGGGTTATCTCGGGGGTCGGCGTGCCGCAAGTGACAGCAATTTACCAGGCAGCGAAAGCAGCAAGTGAACACGGGATTCCGGTCATCGCCGACGGTGGCATTCGCTACTCAGGCGACTTGGCCAAGGCGATCGCCGCCGGGGCACACTCGGTGATGATCGGCGGCCTGTTTGCCGGATTAGCAGAAAGTCCAGGAGAACAAATCCTTTATCAGGGACGAACCTTCAAGGTGTACCGCGGAATGGGTTCCCTTGGCGCAATGGTCAAGGGATCCAGCGAGCGATATCGCCAACGGCCGGGTAAAGCCCCCGGCAAGCTCGTCCCCGAGGGAGTCGAAGGACGCGTTCCTTTTAAAGGGTCGCTTGGACCGTTCGTCTACCAGCTAGTCGGTGGGCTACGGGCCGGCATGGGATATTGTGGGGCTCATAATGTCGAGCAACTCCGCCATGACGCACGATTCATTCAGGTATCAGCCGCAAGCGTTCGGGAGAGCCATCCTCATGACATTGCGGTCACCCAAGAATCGCCTAACTACAGCACGGAGCATGATCGTGAGGGGAATCGATAAACGCCACCAGGGTCCTGTCGCCATTGCGACGGCCATTTGCCTTTCGATCACTCTCTTCACGGTAGCCCCGGCGGCGGCCGACGATGCGGAAGAAACCTTCCGCCGCTTCTCAAAACCAGCCGAAGTCGAATCGGTTGAACAAGACAATCAATCGCAGGCAATCGCCCGCCCCTCGGCCCGCAAAGCCCAGCGAGCCAAACTTCGATGGAAACGCCCCGGTGTGGTTCAGCCCGCTGTGCATGTCACCACCAACGACAGCAAGAGTGCCGTGCGTCAGGTGAAACTAGGCGACGCCGACGAACGCCAAGCTCGCCTGCAATTGGGCGACCCGGCTCCCAGCGACGATCTTCCCGGTTTCGGCGAGCCCTTCGGTGACGAACCGGCCACTCCGGACGATGCCACACCGTCGGACTCCGACGACTCGATAAAAGCCCCCGCCGAAATCACCCCGCCGGGCGACGACCGCCTGCAAGAAATGCCTGCGGACGCCGGCGATCAATTCTCCGAGCCCTATGCGATGGCTCCCGCGTCTGAATCCGATTGCCCTTCGATCCGCGATCTGAAACCGATTGGTGAGATCACCAACTCAATCGCCCCCAAGGGCGATCTGTTCCCGGCCGAGTGCCCGTTGGGTTCGGGACCGTTCCAACCGCGTATGTGGGCCATGACCACCTACACCTGGAAGGCCTCGGGCTTGTGCCACAAGCCGCTGTACTTCGAGCAGGTCTCGCTGGAGCGTTACGGTCACAGCTTCGCTCCGGTATTGGAACCGGTGGTGTCGGGAGCCCACTTCTTCGCCACGTTGCCGATTCTGCCTTACAAGATGGGAATCAACCCGCCGTGGGAGTGCCAATACCCATTGGGTTACTACCGCCCGGGCAGTTGTGCACCTCACATGATCTACCCCTTCCCGATCAGCCTGCGGGGCGCGTTGGTCGAAGGCGGTGTCGCGACCGGCTTGGTGTTCCTCATCCCGTAGCGGTGAGGAACCAGGCCCGAGTGGTTTAACCTCTGGGTGCGATCAATACTCTCACTGCTTGGCAAGCAAGCAGTGGCACCCACCTAGAGGTTCAAGGCCTGCCGCTAGTCGAACTGGCAGCCGCCCATACCGCATTGGGGTGCCCCGCATCCGCCGCTAGGCATGGGGCTAGGGGTGGAGCAGATCGGCAGATCGCTTGATCCACTGACATGGGCGGCCGGCACACTCAAGTGTTTGGTTAGCTTGCTGCTGTCACAGCTAGGGCAGGTGGGTTTTTCCGACCCGCGCACGAGAAGCTCGAAGTCGCTCTGGCAAGAATCACAGGTGTATTCGAACAACGGCATCTGGGTACTCTCCCAAACCTAGGCAACCAACCCATCGAAACGATCGCCGCATCCGGCGATCACGCATCAATTCTAGATCCGACGCCCGCGGATGCCAAGCTGAGCGGAGCGCGTTTCAAGGGGTCTTGGGGGCTTCCTCACCAGTTTCAGCCGCCTCCTCAACAGCGGCCCCTGCGTCCGATTCGTCCGCCTCTTTCTCAGCAGACGTCGCATCTTCGGCGTCTGCATCTGGCTTTTCTTCCTCGGCCGAGGCTTTGGGCTGTGGTGCGGGTGCGTCGGCGGCTCGTAGGGAGATCGCCCCGTTGTGGCTCGACACGCTTAGTTCGCCGTCACCATCTCCGAGCAGACCTGAGATGCTCTTCTTGCCAACTTCTTGATTGTCTAGCGGAAGCTGCGAGTGGATGCCGCCGTTGTGGGTACTCGCGGTCAACCTGGTCGAAGCCCAAGGGTTCACGGCGAGGACAATCGCCCCGTTGTGAGTTTCGACCTTGCCGTTGAGTGGCTCGCTTGTCTTGAGCACTGCATCGATCGCCCCGTTATGACTGGTGAGGCTTACCTTCGGGGCGGCGGTTTGGATGAACAACTCGCCGTTCTGCGTTTCGGCGGTCATTGAAGTCGAGCCCCCCAGCGCGCGAATCCGTCCGTTCTGGGTCTTCATCTTGCAGGCCCCATCGACCCCGTTGAAGTCGATCTCGCCGTTCTGGCTTTCGGCCGCCACGTCCAATTGCGAAGGGATCATCGCGTCGAACGACACCTTGGAACTCCAGGACGATCGTTTCTCATCCTTCCAGTCCCAAGACACTTCAAGTGCGTTGTCGCTGGTTTCGGTCACTACGATCTCAATCGCATCGAGACACGCTTGAACTTCCGCAGGGCTGCTCGCCCCCCCTTCGATCTTCGCCGTGATCTCGATGTTCGCACTGGCATCGTCAACGCCACGCACCCGGATCTTACCGTTATGCGTCTTCAGGGCGACCAGTTCGAGCCCCTTGGGAGCAACTTCGATCAACTCTTCTCGCGAATCCCAGGCCAGGGGAACACCGCAGCCCCCGACGGTTGCCAAGACCATTGCCATTGCCACCCCGCCTAAGAGACGTGGGGGCCATGTGATTATCTGAGGGGGCATTGCTTCAGCTCCAGTTGGCAATACGAGTCGGAGACGTCGAGTGGCACGGTGCCTCATTATGCTGCTTCGCCCGGCCATCGTAAATCTTGCGGCCACCGACGAAAAAACCTTCCAACACGCAATGGACCTCGCCTGGGTGGCAGCCGTTTCAATCGACGACCCGTCAGCGATACACTGCAAGTCAGGCATTCACCTTCGAGAATCTACCCCCACCGCAGACTTAGGAGAACGGCTCCGTGGCTGAAGTGTATCTCAGCAGCAAACAGTGTCAGCAGGTCGATCGACGGGCTGTCGAAGAGTTTGGCATGTCGGGCCTCGTCCTGATGGAGAACGCCTCGCGGGGGGCGACCGATGTGCTTGAGACGCTGATGAAGGCCGACCACGTATCTAATAACAAAGGACGGGTCGTCATCTGCTGCGGGGGTGGCAATAACGGTGGCGACGGACTAACCATGGCCAGGCATCTCGACCTGCGCGGCTATGCCGTCGAGGTTCTGCTGTGGGCCGATCCCGAGAAACTCGCCGGCGATGCGGCCACCAACTACGAAATCACCTCCCGCTGCTATATCCCGGTGAAGGTGCTGGGGCCCGACTACGAACCGCGGGAAGACGCCTCATCGCTGGGTTCGGCAAGTTGGATTGTCGACGCACTCCTGGGCACCGGCGCCCGCGGGGAGCCCCGCCCGCCGATGGATCGCGTGATCGACCAACTGAACAATGCCGGGGTACCGATTCTAGCGATCGACGTCCCCAGCGGGCTGAACTGCGATACCGGAGAGCCCTCTTCTCACACAATCCGGGCCAAAGCGACTTGCACGTTCGTAGCTGCCAAGTCGGGCTTCAAACAGAAACAGGCCAAACCCTTCGTCGGCGAGTTACACGTGCTCGACATCGGCGCACCGCGCAAGTTGATCGAAGAAGTGTTTTCTGAGGCCGGCGAAGACACGTCTTCTGGTTGAACGCAACAATCAACCATTACGGCACCACGGGCGCCTCAAGTTGCACGGGCGGATCCAGCGGCGGCTCTGCACTCTCTGCCGGAAGCAGTTGTTCCAGCAAAAGCTCGATCCGCTCGAGTTGCTCTTCGAGCTGAGTCACCCGTTGCTCCAGCATCTGGACTTGGCTCGGAACCTGGCCCGGAGCCGCCGCCTCGTCGGCGGGCGACGGCAAGTCGAACGTTCCCGGTTCATCCGGGGCAAGTCTCGGGCGAACTTCGGCCGGGCCCGGGACGGGGGCTCGCGATCGCAGAGGGACATCGGTTTTCACCAGCGAACCGGAAAGATTGTAGTAGCTGATGGTGTGCTCTCCGCCCGGCGTGGCGGTGCGAACCGCATCGATCAGGTCGCGTGAGCCAGCGATCCGCGCATCGTTGAGCGAGACGATGACCGCTCCCACTTCCAGCCCCGCCGCGGCGGCAGGCGAATTCTCGATGACCTCGGTCACTTCCGCCCCACTAATCCCCGGACGGTTCAGCCTGCGCTGCACCTCTGGGGTGACATCCACCGCGCGAACTCCCAGCCAGAGTTGAGACGCCGGGTTGGCCATCTCGCTATCGGCAGGAGCATCGGCCGGGATTTCGCCGAAGTCTGGGAATCGACGCTCCTCCGGAGGGGGGCGGCGACCGAGTGTCACGATCACCATCTGAGGCTGTTCGCGACGAACTACCTCGAACTGCAGTTCGTCACCCGCCTTGGTGCCCACGATGGCTTCAGCCATGTCCTGCATGGTGCGGATTTCGTTGTCGTTGATCGAAGTGATCAAGTCGGCCACTTCCAGTCCGCCCTGCTCGGCGGGCCCCCCGGGAAGTACTTTCAGCAACCGTACGCCCTGCCCCTCGGTTCGTTGATCGTCGGCAATCACTCCCAGGTACCCTGCGTCATCCTCACCAGCGGCCTCTTGAGCTGCTGTTTCTAACGTGAAAATGCCGACAGCCAATAACAGCGTGGCGAGCAGCGGTAGCCAACTCGATGGTCGAAGTGACATCGGACCCTCTCCGGGTTGAAGAATGGTTGCGGCGACCCTGCCGGGTGCGTGCTTCGAGTGCGACTGTTCAATTATAACGAGTTGGGATGACGAAGAAGGGCAGGCTTCGGTAAGCTTTGCAGGTCATGAGCCAAACACCCATGCCCCCAATAGCAGTAACTCGTGTTCCCAGCCCGCGCTACGCAACGGCACTCGAGCGCTTTTTCGGCGACTTGCCCAGCGCCGAACGCGGACAGCGCATTGAGGCCGTGCTGGAACAAGAAAAGGGGGGAGGCAAGGTCTACCTCTTTGAGGCCCGACGCGAACAAAACATCCTGGGAATGTCGCTCGCAGTAGCGCAGGAGGGGCGAACTGCCGTTGTGTGGGCTCCCCGCTTGTTCGATGAGAAAGAAGGCGAGCCCCTTTCCACCCTCCTGTTAGCATCGCTCCAGGACGCCCTACAAGCCTCCGACATACGCATCGCTCAGGCGTTGCTCGAATGCGATGCAAAGCAGCAAGGCGAAATGCTGGAACAGGCCGGCTTCAATCGGGTGGGTGATCTACTGTACATGGTTTCATTACCTCAGCAGATTCAGTTCCTACCGCCGGAAGAAATCAACGCGCAACCGCCTGATGAACTCGATTACGAGCCGTACTCTTCCGAAAATGCCGACCGCATGGAACGCATTGTCGAGGCCACCTACCAGGACACCCTCGATTGCCCCCAACTCGACGGTGTTCGAGAAGTGCCCGACGTCCTGACCGGTTACCGAACCAATGGCAAGTTCGATCCACGGCGATGGCTAATCGTGCGTTACAAGAACGCTGATGTGGGTTGTCTGTTGCTTACCGATTATCCCGACACCGGTCACTGGGAATTGGTGTACATGGGTTTGGTTCCCGAGGTTCGCGGCAAGCAACTTGGCCTGGAAGTCGTCCGCCATGCGCAACGCATGGTGCGCCAAGCAGGCCGCGATCGTTTGATTTTAGCCGTCGATGCGGACAATAAGCCGGCCATCGACATGTATGTTCAAGCCGGCTTCGACGTATGGGATCGACGACGAGTTTTCCTAAAGATTTATGACCAACGACGTTGATGCTCGAATATTGCGCTACCACGAAAGCGCAAGGCATCAACCGGCCATTCATCTCGACAAGTTTTCCACGCTAATGAACGCGCAGTGCAAAGAATTTTTTTCTCGCACGATCACCCCAGAGACGAAGTTTCACGAGGATTTAACGGCTTTGAGGCCGGCCGAAAAAAACTATTCCGCGGTGTCTCCAAGAATGGCTTTGACAGCCGTGCTAGCAGGCTTACAATCGCTGACTCGGGTGACAATCTTAGGCGGAGGACGCTTCGGTCTGCTGGCCGATCACGTCTCCGATTGACGCGGTTTTTCTCGGTGTAGCGCAGTAAGCGCTGACGGGTGATTCCCAGCCAGTGTCTCACTTTGTTCTTTGTGGGATCGCTGTGCGCGAACAGTCTAGCAGGGATGTGATAGCAAGCGAAATGGATGTCGTGGTCCAATTCCAATCGCGCTTAGCGCAACAACTTGGCCCTGCCCGCTACCAACTGTGGTTTGCTGGGCGCACGCAGTTCAGCATCACCAACGATGCTCTGAACATCGCCGTGGCCGACGCCTTCTATCGCGAGCTGCTCGAACGCACCTTCCGCAAAGACCTCGATGAATTCTGCCGTGCAGAGTTGGGCGATGCGGCCACCGTGCGGTTCAGCATTGCACCAGAGTTGGTTGCCACTGAGACCGAAGTTGAAGCATCCAGCGATCGCGCCACGCAACTGGAATCTGATGATGCTAACAATCGTCAGGTCGAAGCCGACACAACTGCTGGTCCTCGATTGACGCTGGTGAGCGAAACGGGAGCCGTGGAAACCCCTGTGCTGAATGCACCGACGGCAACGAGTGCTACTACTTACCAGTCGGCAGCAATCAAAGCACCAAAGTCTTCCTTCAAGCCTGCTCCCCCTCGGGCATGTCAGCAGAGTGATCACGACAACAAGCCCCCTCGGCGGCGGTTCGCCAAACTTGCGGATATCGTTGAAGGCGAAAGCAACCGCCTGGCACTCTCAACCGCACGGAGTGTGGCCGACCACCCGGGTTCGTTCACACCGCTGGTGATTCACGGACCCGCGGGTGTGGGAAAGACCCACTTGCTCGAAGGCATCTGGTGTGCCGCTCGCGAACAATCGCGAGGCCTGCACGTGGTCTATCTCACCTCCGAGCAGTTCACCACGCTGTTCCTTGCAGCCCTGCGGGGTAACGGGCTACCGGCCTTCCGCAACAAGTATCGCGGTGTCGACATTCTGATCATCGACGACGTGCAGTTTCTGTGCGGTAAGCAGGCCACACTGGGCGAATTCCAATACACCATCGACACGCTGGTCGGCAGTGGCAAGCAAATCGTGCTGGCCGCCGACCGCGACGTGAGCGAACTGCGAGGGCTGGGACGCGAAGTGATCAGCCGACTGCAATCAGGCGTGAGCTGTGCCGTTGAAATCCCCGACGAAGCGATGCGGTTGAAGATTCTGCAGCAGCAGGTCTACAACCGTCAGCTACAGGTTCCACCGGAAGTGCTCTCGCTAGTCGCCAAACGCGTTCACGGTTCTGCCCGAGAGTTGAGCGGTGCGTTGAACCGGCTGCGTGCGGCCAGTTGTGCCGTTGGGCAGCCCATCACCGAGGCACTCGCCCGCCAGACGTTGGCCGAGCTGTTTCGAAGTTGCAAGCCCGTGGTTGGGCTGGCCGAAGTCGAGAAGGCCGTCTGCGATGTGTTCGGTGTCGAGCCGGCCGACCTCCGCTCAGAGCGTAAGTCGAAGTCGATTACCGGACCGAGGATGCTGGCCATGTTCCTGGCCCGCAAGCATACCTCAGCCGCCTATAGCGAGATTGGCCGGTACTTCGGGCACCGCAGCCACAGCACCGTGATGTCGGCCAAGAAGCGGATCGAAACCTGGGTCCGCGACGGAGGGCAACTGCACCTCTACGATCGCCCCTGCGAAGTTACCGATGCCCTACGGCAGGTCGAGTCGCGCATTCGCGTGGGCTAAGCAGGCAATCTCCGCACTATGCGTGCATCACGTCATTGAGTATTTAAGCGGAGCACCCTCGCGCACCAAGGGTACCGCAACTCAATCGAATCCCCGACCTGTTCTTACCCCACCGGGGCCACGGGCGGAGTGGTGTCGGTTGGTCGATCGCGGTAGCTCCACCACCAGGTTAGCGGTAGCGAGCCCAGGGCGATGATCGTGAGTTGGCTCACCACGAAGAGCCCCAGAGCCGTCCGCATTCCGTCGTGGAACCCGTACGAGTGCAGACCAACGCCCAACTCGTTCACACCGAACCACGACCAAGCCGTGGCAATGTTGCCGGCGATGGCCAGCACGGCCAGCCCGCGACTGCGAACCATGCCACCCCAGCGAGCGTGCAGCACCAACGCGTTCCACAGCACGATGATCAGGGCCCCATTCTCTTTCGGGTCCCAACCCCAGAACCGGCCCCAGGAATCGTCGGCCCACAGACCACCCAGCACCGTGCCGACGAAGCTGAAGAACAGCCCGAAGCACAGAGTACCGTAGATCATGCGGGTGAGGTTCCGTCCCACGTCTTCGCTAAGCGAAGGCGTTAACACCCCACGCAGCACATACAGCAGCCCCAACAGGCCGGCCACGAAGGTGGTCGAATAGCCCAGCGTGATGCACACCACATGGGTCGCCAGCCAGAACTGCGTATCGAGCACGGCCTGCAGCACCACGAAGGTATCGCCATCGCCAGCCAAGAAGTGGGCGATGAGCAACGTGGCGAAACCAGCCACGGCAGCGATGATGTTTCCAATGCCCAGGCGATACACCCGTTCGAAGATCAGGCCGAAGATCACACAACCCCAACCGATAAACACGGCCGAGGAGTAAAGGTTCGTCACCGGCGGACGTCCCGAGATGTAGATGCGTGAGACCAAGGCCAACGTGTGAATCACAAACGTGAACACAATCAGCCAGAATGCCGCCCGACCTAACGTGCGTGACCAACCCAACCACGAGCAGGCGATCAACACGAAGGCCAACAGGTACAGCCACGCCGCATAGAAGAACGGAGCCGCGTGATTGAAGTAGGCCTCAAAGCCAATTTTCTCTGGGTTCACCGTAGCCGCCGGATTGCCGGCAACCATCGCTTTGTACTCGGTCATTTGTTCATTGAACGATTTCGCATCGTCCTGAGCGTAAGCGGCCAGCATTCCCGTCACGGCATCAGTCGCCGGGTTGATCTTCTTATCGTCTGTGAGGTTCACCCGAATGAAGTCTTTGGTCCACCCGGAGGCATACGTGTTCCAAGTCCCATCTTTAGCCATGGGCGGAATTAGCAGTGGCGGCTCACGCTGGTTGAGCACCTCTTGCTGTTGCACGGTGGCCAGCAAGTCGTCTTTCACGTTCTCTGGGCGAATCCGCGGCAGGCTAAACGACTGTAGCAAGAGATCGACCAGCCCGATCTTCTCTTCCAGACCCAACACGCTCTTCTGGTAGGTCGTCAACTGGTGAGGATCCATATCGCGGGCCAAACGGGCCTGCTTGCTGAGCTCTGGCATGTGGTCAAAGAACTCGGACAAGGCGTAGCGACTCGACTCGCGTCGGGTGAGGCCCAGCGTTTCGAGCAACTCCAGGTTGTCGATGCGGATCACGTGATAGTCGAGCGCCTCTTCCGGCTTGGCCATCAGGTCGACCAGCCATCGAATGGCCGGCTGGGTCTTCTCGTCGGCATCCTTGAACGTTTCGCGGTGCGAAAGGATCCGCAGACTGTTGCGGGCCAGCGTATCGATCGGCTTGGTGCGGCCCTTATAGACCACGGGCACCTTGCCGAACTCGTACAGGTTCGGCTCGTTAGGCTCAGGAGTGGCAACATAAGCGGCCCGACCAATCAACATCGCCGCCAGCCCCACCACCACGGCGGGCACAATCAGCCACGTCCAAATCGAAGAGCCCGACTTCACCGTTGGAACCTGACCGGTGGACGATTGTACTAGCGGCATCCGTTCAGTCCGCCAGCGACGCAAGAAACGCAACAAGGTTTGCGAGAATTGAGCCAACATCCCCGTGGCCACAATCATGCAGGCTACGTAGGGAATCATCCAACCGGTGTTCGTGACGACCGAGAGTGTCGTGGTTTCAGCACCCGAGCGAGGGTCGGCCCGATAACCGCTCTGATAGAACGTTTCTCCAGCGAACCGCAGTGGATTGTTCATCCAGATTTTCACTTTGCGATCCACGTTTCGCGTAGGATCGACTAGCTGAACGTCGGATGAGTAGTTACGTGGGGTGCTGGTGCCGATGTAGTCGTCTTTGCGAACGTCGAGCAGCTCTAACGAGTATGGCTTGTAAGTTCGCTTGAATCGCAAGGCAACGTCATAGGTCTGATCGCCCACTGCAACCGGCTGCTCGCCTAGAAATTGCGTGGCCAGAAAAGTCCCGAGTGCTTTGGAATCATCATTCGGAGTCAGCTTGATATACGCCGAAGCCACATCGACTTCGCTGCTGGAGTCGGTTCCCGCACCAGGTCGAACCGCTTCAGCAATCACTTCCAGTCCCTGCCCGTCTGTCGCAGCATTGGCGTCACCTTCAGTCACCCGACGGATGTTGGAGTTATCCATAAACTCCTGCACATCGATCGTGAACGGCAACAGCGGGCTCTCAATCGGCTCCCCGCTCTTCAAAGCTCGCTCTGAGATGACCACCACTTCGTCATGCTCGGGGTTCGACCGGTCGATGACAGCCAGCTCGACTTCACGAATGTCTTGCACAAAGTTGACCGTGTCGCCCTCGTCGATGACCATCTGCCCTTCGACGGCTTGAATGCCAACCAGGAACTCACTAAACATCATCAGCCCGATCCCGCCGTGCAGCAGGACGATGCCGGCCCGTTTCTTGAAGACCATCACACAGCCGGCTAACAAAACAACTCCAGCGGCGGTGCCCTTGATGAGTTGCCACAGAATCCGCATCGAAGAATCGCTAATGCGGGCTTCCTCGCCGCCGATGATCAAGTACGCCAATACGGCGGCCACGGTGAACAGCCCACCGATGATCGACCAGCGTTCGAACTTCTTATCACTCGGGGTGCCCCACAACACGTAGGCCAACGCCAACCACACGGCAGCCAGCCCCAGCTTGAGCCAATCCCAAACGGTATCCCACCCGGCACCGGTTGCCTCGTACACGCCTTCAGTGTTCGAACCGCTAACCACCACCAGCCAGGTAAGCACACACCCGGCGAAGATCACCGCCAGTCCCCACCGCAGACGAGAGCCCGTGGCTTGGGTTTTGAAGCGAATACCATGCGCTGCCACTAGGTTTACGGCCATGGCCAGGCCGATGAGCCAACCGCCGGGAAAATAGAACCCGCCGGGTATTTGGGGCATGCTGGGGAAGAACGACGGCGGGAAAAACACCTGGAACGGAATCCAAGCAATGGCCGTGCGGAAGTACTGATCGATCACCTGCCAGATGTCCTGATCGACCTGCCCCAGGGTCCCGGCGAACACGATCACAATCGCCATGGCGAATAGGGCTACCGTCAGCTTCAACGACGCCAGGACTTCGACAATGCGTCGCAATGTGCTCGGGGGCGTCGTGGAGCGCGACCGCGTGGGGCCCTTTGCTTCGGGGGTTTGATCCGGCTGAGCTGTCAGGGTATTCGATGCCATGGTCACGTTATGGGGTTGGAAGGAAGGTTCCAGGCGAGCCTGTTAGTAGAACCTCGTTTAGAAGCGAATGGATTCATAAAAAGCACGAAACGCATCGCGCTGAGCTTCAGCCACAGCCGCATCGCCAGAAAGTTTGATGAACCACGACTGCCCTTCGATGTTGACGATCGCGGCCAGAATCGCCTTGCGATCGGGGGCGGATTCGTCGGTCCACATCTCAACGTAGTGGCCCGGATGACCGTCGATTTCAATGTCTTCGGCCTGCTGCTCGATTTCCTCAGGCGACAGCGGCTCTAGCCCGATTTGCCCACGCCAACGATTCACGTTGGGGACCAGGCCCGACTCAGGAAGATCGATCACCGTTACTTCGGCCGACTTACCATCTTGGTCGATCTGGAAAGCAGCCTTGCGCATCCCACCGGCCGGCCCTTCTGTCCACGCCTCGGGCACTTCATACTTCAGCGAACTCGCGGCCGGAGCGGTCGGTCGCGAAGAGGGCGTTCCCACGCTGGGGCCTGCAGGCGGCATCGGTCCCTGAGGAACCATCGGGCCCTGAGGCATACCGCCCGAAAACGGTCCACCGCGCCCGGTTGAAGGTGCACTGACACCCGAGATGTCGACCACCACGGCCTCTTGATCATCACCCAACGGAATTCGCAGTATCGAAGCCGAGTCGCCGGCTTCGTCCGCGGGCTTGGCCGCTTCGAGTTCGGCCTTGTCGATGGGTGCCAGCCCCAGTTGATTGCGCCAGCGATTGATGTTCGAGAGCACGTATTCCGCTTCGTCGTCACCGGCCGTCGGGAGTGGGATCACCGTCAGCTCCACAGTCGGCTCATCGGGCAGTGGATGAATCGTGGCGAAACGCATTCCGGAGCCCTGCTCTTGCGTCCAGCCCTCGGGCAAATCCCACTGCGGGGGTTCGTCGGGCCCGGCGATCTTGATCGAGCGAACGAGTTCCAGGAACGGCTCACGCTGTTTGGCCACCAGAGCCTCGGGTCCCATCAGCTTGAAGAACCAGCTTTGCGTCGGTTCGGGAACAACCGCCGCCAGCATCCGCGAAGCAACGCCTTGCGCCGCGGGGGTACTCGAAGTGGCCGCAGTGGCTTGGGCCTCGGGCGACTTCGGCACGTTATAAGTGCGAATGTCTTCTTCCGAACTGCAGCCCACCGCAAACACAACGCTGGCCGATGCGAACAGGCCAATGGCGACCAGCAATACTCCGCGCGAAGACTTAGCCCTCGCCGAGAGCGGGCTCTCCGGAGACTCAACGTAACTCATACGCAGCAACTTCATCTGTACCATCGGGCCGGTGGGGAGGGAGCTTCTTCAACTGGCTGCGAGCAAGGAAGGCGGGGGCTCACAGTGGACAAACACTTTGTCCAAAGGCTTGGCTCCATTATAGAGGCTCACCCGACCGAAAGTACAGTTTCTGCACTCGGTTAAAACGTCGCAGGCCGGTCAAACGAACCCGCGAAATGCATCCAATCCGCAGCACCACGCGAAGGGGGGGTTAGAGAGTCCCGACGGTGCAAGCTGGCCCGCAGGGTGGCACCGGATCTTGATCCGGTGCGGCGCAGCCACTAGAGGCATTCAGCAAGCTTATCCTCGCCGAGCGGGCTTAAGGCTCACCTTGAACTAGCAGCCCCACAGCTTCAGATGCGAATCAATACAAACTCGTCATCGTGTCGGTCCAACCCACCACGGGTGTGTCGGGGGCCATGACGAAGATCTCCACCCGGCGGTTTTGCTGCCGTTTGTCCGGCGAACCGTTGGCCGCGATGGGCTGGTGCTCGGCAAACCCGGCCACGCCCATCCGATCGCCCCGCACTCCGCGAGCATTCAGATACTCGCACACGGCCAACCCTCGCGCCGTGCTGAGATGCCAGTTGTCGGGGTACTGCTCGCGTGTGGGCTGCTTAGCAACTTGCCGATCGTCAGTATGGCCAGCGACCACAATCCGCAGATCGCGACCGGCCTCGGTGGTGAGCATTTCGGCCAGTTCGTCGAGAAGCCGTCGCGAGTTCGGCTGCAAGCTGGCATCGCCCGTGTCGAACAGCAGATCGGTCTGCAGCTTGCCCACACCAGTCTTGGGGTCGTACCGCAAGTTGGGGTAGCGCTGCGAAAGCTCGACCAGGCGACGTTCGACCGGCGAGGGAACTCCGCCGCGAGCGCCACGAAGGGCGTCTTGCATCAGATCGCCTTGGCGACGGAAGTCGGAGAGCAGCGAGCGATCGACGCCCGCCTGTTCGGCCAGTCGGGCCAGTTGATCTTCGGTGGCCACGAGTTGATCTTCAACCCGATGACGATGCGCGTTGAGCGTTTCGATTTCGGCCTGCTGTGCGCGAACCTGCTCGACCAACTCGCGGTTCATGTTCTCGGCAGCAGCGTATTGCGACTTGGGCACCCACTGACACCCGGTGGCCAGCACCGAGCAAAGCAGCATCAACGCCGCAAGTTGCGAAGAGAGATTCCTCACGATTCGACTCCTTTCGAATCATTCCGGCCGCCGCGTTCACCTGCCAACCGTCGAAGGCAGGCCCGCAAAGCCGGGTGTCTTATGGCAATCGTCAAAACGATTGAGACCAACCTTGGTCCACTTCGTGTTTCTATTCAAACAGGCCCAGGATGAAGTTCATCACCGCGCCGTTGGCCGCGTAAGTACCGTTCCAGCTCCACATGTTCCGCATCAGGTCGAACATCACCATGCCGCACAACACCAGCAACATGGCACAGGCGCCCAAACCAACAACGTCCCAGGTGGAGAACCGGGCTTCCGGCCCACGGGGTTGCATGGCGGGTGCGCCGGCATAGCTGCTCGGGCCTGCAGTCTCGGAGAAGTCGACCGATTCCTCGCTGTCTTCGACCATGCTCACCATGTCGCCGCCCGCATCGTCGAGCATCGCGGCGGCCGAAGCCCCAAAGTCGTCGCTTTCGTCCAGTGCGATCACCTGCGAACCGCTTTCCTCCGAGTCGGCGTCGCCGGCATCTTCCATCGGGGTCAGCAGGAAATCATCGTCGGAGCCCACATCGCCCAGGGCTTCAGAGTCCGAATCGCTGGAGAGTTCGAAATCGCTCGAGGCATCCTCATCGCCCGCTAGGTCGAGTGCTTCTCCACTGCTGGAGCCGCCCAAGTCCAACGGATCGGCCAGCGACAAGCCACTGTCGGCCGGGTCGGCCAGCGAAATACCGCTGTCTCCGGCACCCATCGTGATATCGCTTCCGCCACGGAGAACGAACTCATCGTCGCTCTCACCGCCGAGATTGATGTCGGCGCCCGAGTCGTCATCGTCGTCGTCGCCAGAAATGCCGTATTCGCCGGCCAGCGAAACCGCGTCGTCGTCATCTACGGCCAGGTCCGCATCGGCCACTTGATCGGTCGGCGAATCGTCTTGGACCAGCGGAACGCCGCTACCGAAATCCAAGTCGAGTTCGAGCGAGTCGTCGTCGAGCGAGAGACCGCTTTCGCCGGTGGCAGGGGCTTCGGGTGTGTCAGGAACATCGACCACCGAGGGAGCCAGCTTCACGCCGCTGTCGCCCGAGTCGGCATCGGCAACCAGCTTCACGTCGCTGCCGGTTTCATCTCCGGTAACAATGCGAACATCGCTCTCGCTGGGGTCTTGTGCACTGCCCGGCTTACCAATGATCGTGCTCGAGGTGCTGGGGTCCGATTCGCCCAGCTCGGCTTCACTCAGCAGCACCATGTCGTCGCCTTCGTCATCGTCGTCCAGTGGGATATCCACCAGGTCGATCGAGTTCGACGAGTCGCTCAGCTCCGACACGCCTTCGCTGGCAATCCGCTCAATCTCTTCGACCTTGAACTTCCAGCTGCTGCCGTCACGGTAACCGTGCGCTTCGTGACGCTCGCGCAATTGGTTGAGCTCTTCGGGAGAAATGCCCAGCTTTTGGGCAGCCTCTTCCAAGGTCAAAAATTTCATCGCCATTGAAGACGCTCCGGACGTGAACAACCGCTGCCATGTGCCTTCGGGCATCCGACGGCGGCAGCGGCGGCTCCGTCGGTCGACTATCTCTGTTCCAGCAAACTGCGAATCTCGCCCGGCAAGGGGCTATCGCTGTTGAATTCCGATAACTTCAGGTCCCATTCAATTTGTCGAACACTGCTAAGGGCGATTTCGCCGGTCGCCGCATCGACATGGTAGATGGCAACCGTCCTTTGTTTCGCATCGACTATCGTCAGCAGTTGGGGTCCCTGCCGCGTGGGAGTGCTCAAGGCGATCATGTCGCCCGCCACGCCCGCATGGGTCACCAAATTACCCGAACCATCCAGTTTAGCTGATTGGCTCGCCGGCACCTGTGCCCAAGCGGCCCCTTCGGGCATACCCGACTGGGAGAGGACCATCCACGTCACCGCTGCCAGAGCTGTGACCACCGCCGTCGCTCGCATAAGTCACCTATTGCTTATGGGATAACGAATTAGGCGGCTCTTTCCATTCTAAGAGCCCACCATGTCAATTCAAGAAATTTCGAACCCCGCAAACAGCGGTTCAGGCGGCAATTAAGCCCACCTAATCGCCGTAAACGGAACTCAACTTGCCCGCAGCCGTCTCGCGGGTCGCACCCGGCCATACAGCTCAAGGTGGCGTCGCCAATCTACGCGAGCCCAGGAACTGCCGAATCGGGGGAATAACCCTTAAAACCGCTGCAAAAAGTGCCGAATGGCTATCGTTTCGTCGCAGAAGAGATTGAAAAGCGGCGGGAGTGTAGCGAGACGCCCCCACTCCGGCAAGGTCAGCCTGGTCGGTGCGAATTACCCTGCTCTGGTCGAATCTTCGCAGTTTACGCGGCCACTGCTGCTCGACTGGGCCACCGCTTGCCCTACAATTTGATGCTTCGCCCGAAAGTGGGGCCACCACGGGTGCCTTACTACCCCGGGCGGGCCGCCGAGACTCAGCCGTTCTGATCCGAGTGCAGTCGAATGATCTCCCAGACACCCCACGATACCATCGGGCTCCTGCTCAGCGGCGGGCTCGATAGTGGGATCCTGCTAGGCCATCTGCTATCCCAAGGGCGTCGGGTCCGGCCATTCTATGTGCGCTCGGGTCTGTGCTGGGAGGAGGCCGAACTGGCCTCGCTGCACAATTACCTGAGGGCCCTCGAGTGCGAGCATCTCGAAAAACTGGTGCTGCTGGAACTGCCTCTGGGCGATCTCTATACCGGTCATTGGAGCATCACCGGTAACGGGGTGCCTTCGGCCGACACGCCCGATGAGGCCGTCTACCTGCCAGGCCGCAATGCACTGCTGGTGATCAAAGCCCTGCTGTGGTGTCATCTGCACGGCATCCGTCAACTGGCCTTGGCCCCGCTCGAATCGAACCCCTTCCCCGATGCCAGCGATCGGTTCTTCAACTCGTTCTCGCAAGCCATGAACACGGCCGCCAGTGGACAAGTCGAAACGGTGCGTCCCTTCGCGCATCTGCGCAAACACGAAGTCATGCAGCTTGGCAAACACCTACCCCTGGAACTAACCTTCTCCTGCATCGCTCCGCAGGAAGGATTACACTGTGGAACGTGCAACAAATGTGGTGAGCGACAGGCGGCCTTCAGTGAAGCCGGGCTAGTCGACCCCACCCCTTATGCATCGAAACAGACGACGGCGGTTCCCACCTCTAACTAGGCATCTTCGAATTATGTATCGCGTCAGTCGAGAAATCGATTTCTGTTACGGACACCGCTTGCTGAACTACGACGGCAAGTGTCGCTACCTACACGGTCACAACGGCAAGGCCGTCATCTCGATCGAAGCAGACAAGCTCGACCATCGCGGCATGGTGCTCGACTTCAGCGATATCAAACAAGTCGTCAGCAAGTGGATCGACGACAACCTCGACCACCGCATGATTCTGAACCGCAATGACCCGGTGGTGCCGATGCTGCAAGAGATGAACGAACCGCTGCACCTCATCGACACCAACCCCACGGCCGAAACCATCGCTCAGCTTATCTACGACTACACAGCTTCGCAGGGTTTTCCCGTGGTCGAAGTTCTTTTGTGGGAAACCCCCAAGTGTTTCGCCACCTACCGACCTTCCTGATCGGCTAGAGAGGCGGTTGCGACGATGGAAGAATGGCTCTCACAACTGGGATGGGAACCCAGTTGGTGGTCGCTGATCGCCACCGCAACCTATCTCCTGGCCCTGGCAAGCATCCCTTCTGTACTGCTCCAACGTCGTGGGCACCCGCAGTCGGCCATCGCCTGGCTGCTGGTTTTGTTCTCGCTACCTTTCGTGGGCTTGTTTCTGTGGTGGTTCTTGGGTCGTAAGCACCTCACCCGCAAACGGCGGCGAAGGCTGAAAGCCACCGAGAAGGTCTCAGGCTCTCTCTCAAAACTCCGCGATGCCCTGCCCGCCCTGCCCGAGGCCAGTTGGGAATTGCTCTCGCTGCGTCGCTTACCACCCGACGAAGCCCAATGGGTTTTTCCGCCAACATTTAACAATCGAGTGCGATTGTTACGCGATGCTATTCAAACATACCCGGCGATCGAAGATGCCATCCATGCCTCGACCCAGCACATTCATCTGCTGTTCTACATCTGGAACGATGACGCGACGGGCCGACGCTTTCGCGACTTGCTGGTCGAAAAAGCGAGGCAAGGCGTCGAAGTCCGCATTCTCTGCGACGCCATTGGCAGCCCCTGGGCCGGGCGGAGTTTGATGCGTCCGTTGATCGAAGCCGGCGGAAAGGTGGGCATCTTTCTGCCCACGCATATCTTCAAGCGAAACCGTTACTGGAACTTTCGCAACCATCGCAAGCTGGTGGTGGCCGACGGTTGCCGCGGCATCGTGGGCGGATTGAACATCGGCGACGAATACACCAAAGACTGGCACGACACGGCCCTCGAGATGCGGGGCCCCGTAGTCGATCAACTCCAGGAAGTATTCGCCGACGACTGGTACTACACCACTGGCGAAGAACTCTCCACCACCCGTTACTTCAGTTGCTACCCCGAAGAACAAAAGAAGAACCCCGAATGGGGCATCGATAACGAGGCCGTGTGTGGCGTGGTGGCCAGTGGTCCACATACCCGGCACAACCTCACGCACGACGCCCTGTTCATCGCCATCACGCAGGCCACCAACCGCGTGTGGATCACCACTCCCTACCTCATCCCCAACCCCAGCATTCGCTCGGCACTGAGAACCGCCGTCTACCGCGGCGTGGATGTGAGGGTCATGCTGCCCGAGGTGGGCGACTCGCGGATCGCCCATTGGGCCTCACAATCGTACTATCCGGAACTGCTGGGGGCCGGCGTGAAGATCTACGAGTACCTGCCGTATTACCTCCACGCCAAGAGCGCCGTGTTCGACGATGATCTCTCTGTGGTGGGCAGCGCGAACATCGATATCCGTAGCTTCCGGCTAAATTTCGAGGTCAGTTGCACCGTCCGCAGCAAGGCATTCTGCGATGAGCTGGCCGCCCTCTTCGAACGCGACATGCAGAAATGCAAGGAACTGAGATACGAGGAATTCGAGAAACGCCCCCTCATGCTGAAACTTGCCGAATCGGCCGCACAATTGTTCAGCCCCTTACTGTAGGCGAACCTAAGCTTGAGACGCGACCCGCCCACCTTGCTGAGCTTCACGCGATGATCGCTGAGGCGGCCAAGGCATTTTCCACCGTCACGATCCTTCCGCGGCACCAACCCAATCATGGAACTGGCCACAGAATTTGTTGTGCTGCTCGTGCTGGGCTTCCTCACCAGCTTTGTCTCAGGGTTGTTCGGCATCGGCGGAGGAATCGTTCGCATTCCGTTGTTCGTGTACCTGCTGCCCTGGATGGGAGTACCCGACGACACGATGATGCATGTGGCCGTCGGCACCTCGGTGGCCTTGATCATTCCCACGGCCATTGCCGCGTCTTATAAGCAATATCGGCAAGGCAATCTCGACCTGGAGTTCTATCGTCTCTGGGCTGTTGGAATCTTGATCGGCGTTCTCGTCGGCCTGCTACTCGTCGACCACGTCTCGACCGATGCCTTCAAAATCATCTTCATCGTGTTTCTCATCGGCGTTGCCGGCTACGTGGGCTTCGTGCCAGAAACGACCGTCATTTCACAGACGCCCCCAAAGGGAATCGGTCGCGTGAGCCTGGCCGCCCTGGTCGGTCTTATCTCAACCCTCACCGGAACCGGGGGTGGCGCCGTATCAACGCCTTCGCTGAAGGCGTTCAACATGCCGCTGAAGAAAGCCGTGGCTACAGCCTCGGCCACCGGACTGGTCGTCGGCGTCGTGGCCTGCATCGGCTACATCTGGCAAGGTCTCGGAATCCCCGACCGCCCGCCACACTCGTTGGGATACGTCGATCTGCTGGTGTTCGCCGGCATGATGCCGACAATCTTCATCGGCGCCCCAATGGGAGCAAAGGTCAACAATCGCTTAGATGAGAAGCACCTGAAGTACACCTATGGTGTATTCCTCCTCGTGGTAGCCGCCGACATGACCTACAAACTGGTCACTTAGTTCGCCCGCGTGCGAACTAGCCTGTGTCGCAGTTTCGATACTGGCTGTCGTTCCGTAGCGGCGCTTTCCTCCTGATATCGTCGCCAGCATCTCGGTACTGCAATCGCACTGCAAATTCCATGCTCCCAGTGCCTTAGCGATATTCTCTCACACCGCCTCCGCATTCTGGCATGGCACCTGCTTTTCAAATGTCGTGCGGCGGGTCGTCACGTAGTCGGCTCGCGTGAGAATCAGGCGATGCGTGTCCCAGTCGAAAAAGAAGGGGTCGGCAACGGCACATTTGTAGCCGAAGACAACAGGTTCTATGTCGTGCTGCTTAGGTAAGCACGGCCGAAAAGAACCTACCGGATGGAGTCGGAATACTCGACTCGGCGTCGCCTTCCACCATGGGAGGAAAAGTCGATGAAAAAGTTAGTTTATCGTGCACTGCTGGTCGTAGCCGTGCTGGGAGTGGCCACCGTGGCAACTCCTAAAGCGGCCGACGCGGCGGGCTGGGGGTTCTCCATTACCTCGGGTTACCCGGGATATTATGCTCGCTCGCCGGGATACTACTCCCACGGGTATTCGTACCTTGGTCCGCCAAGCTACCGCTACTACCCACGACGAGCCTACTACCCTGGCTTCTACGGTCCGGGCCGTGGTCCTCACCGCCACCATTATCCTCATCACTGCCGCTAATACACGCGGGCGTACCAATCTTCCCGCAGTACGTCCAACGCAAACCAGCCGCCTTCGGATTGTCTCGCACGATAATCCGAAGGCGTTGCTATTTGCACAGCGCAGAGCGAAACGATTCGTTACCTGGAATATCCCACTCCTCTGCCCGCTTGCATTCTCCTCCCTGCCGGTTCACCATAACCACCTGTCATCGGAGGTTCTAGCGACGAGAGGAATGAGGCTATGAAGTGGTTCTGGCAGGCGGCGGTGTGGGGGCTTGTGGCTTGTGGTTTAACAACCTCGTGCCTCGCGCAAGACTCCGGCAATCAACCTCCCGCCATCGACACTCGTCGCGGCGATGCGATGATCGCCGAGTATTTCCGCCAGGAAACCCAGAAACTGGCCGACGACTGTCTGACCGACATCAAAACGCTCGACGACTGGACCGCCCATCGGGCCGAATACGAAGCCCAGCTTTATGAAATGCTGGGGCTCGATCCACTGCCCGAGAAAACCCCGCTCGAACCGGTCATCACCGGCCGCATCGAGCACGACGACATCGTTGTCGAGAAGCTCCAGTTTCAATCCCGCCCCGGGCTATACGTTACCGCCGACCTGTATCTCCCCAAGCAACTCGATGGCCCCGCCCCCACGGTGCTGTATGTCTGCGGTCATGGTCGGGTGAAGCACGACGGGGTGAGCTACGGCAACAAAGTGCACTACCATCACCACGGAGTCTGGTTCGCCCGCAACGGCTACGTCTGCCTGATGATCGACACCCTGCAACTGGGCGAAATCGAAGGTCTGCATCACGGCACCTATCACGAAGACATGTGGTGGTGGTTCTCCCATGGTTATACGCCCGCCGGGGTGGAAGCCTGGAACTGCATTCGCGCGCTGGATTACCTCGAGACCCGCGAAGAAGTCGACCCCGAACGTATGGGCGTCACCGGCCGCTCAGGTGGCGGGGCCTACAGTTGGTGGATCGCGGCCATCGATCAGCGAATCAAAGTGGCCGTCCCCGTGGCCGGCATCACCGACCTGGAAAACCATGTGGTCGATGGCGTCATCTCCGGCCACTGCGACTGCATGTTCATGGTGAACACCTACCAGTGGGACTACGCCAAGGTTGCAGCCCTGGTGGCTCCCCGCCCGCTGCTGATTGCCAACACCGATCGCGATTCGATCTTTCCGCTCGACGGCGTGGTGCGGCTCTACGAAAAGGTGCGGCACATCTACCAACTTTATGGGGCCACCGAAAAGTTGGGCCTCAACATCACCGCGGGCCCACACCAGGATACACAAGAACTGCAAACGCACGCTTTCGTCTGGATGAACCGCTACCTCAAAGGCAAAGAGTCGCCCATCGCCCAGCCGGCCGAGAAGCTCTTCCAGCCCGAGGAACTCAAGGTCTTCGACGAACTTCCCGAGGACCAACTGAATTCTGAAATCCAACAAACGTTCGTCACTCGCCAGTCGCCCGACACGCCACCCACCGACGCTTCGCAATGGGAACAGCAGCGCGACGCCTGGCTAGACATTCTCCGCGAGAAGACCTTCGCCGCCTGGCCTGAAGAAAACGCCGAGAACTTGTCGCTGGAACCGGCCTTCTCCGTTGAGCACGAAGGGCTGCGATTCCGCGGTTTCGATTTCACCTCACAAGGCCCCATCCGTCTTCGTCTCTACATGGTCGAGCGGGCCGACTTGGACAACCCTGAGCTGGTTGTGCTGAACGTGCTGGACGATCAGCGATGGCAAGAATGGCTCGCCACCATGCAGGTTGGGTTCGCCGAAGCCCTTCAAGGCGAAACCCTGGGCGAGCCCGACGCCGAGTCGTTTGAGCAACTCGCAGCCATGCTCAAATCCCAACCCTGGGCCATGGCCTATCTAGCCCCCCGCGGCGTTGGCCCCACTGCGTGGAATCAGTCTTCCAAGGAGCAAACACAAATCCGGCGACGGTTCATGCTGCTGGGGCAAACACGCGACGGCATGCAAGTGTGGGATGTTCGCCGCGCCGCGCAGGCCCTGCAATCGATCGACGAGTTGAACACCGTTCCACTCTGGATCCAGGCCAACGATCAAATGGCCGGGGTCGCACTCTACGCGGCGTTGTTCGAACCCGATGTGGCCCGACTCGATCTGTGGAACCTTCCCGGCTCGCATCACAATGGCCCGACGCTATTGAACGTGATGCGATTCTTCGACACGCCGCAAGCCGTAGCGATGGCAGCGGAGAAAACGAAGGTTCGCCTGTACGATGACGACTCCGAGGCGTGGCAGTACCCGCTAGAGCTGGCCCGAAAACTCGGCTGGGACGAAAAGCAGATCGCCGTGCGAGAACCACCCTCTAACGAACCGTAAACGAAAACCAGCGAATCACGCTGATCGTTTCTTCGTAGCACCAGAAAGCGCAGAACACGCGCCCACCCGGCAAACGCACCAGCGAGGGAGCCCCAAAGCGGAGGGTGTTGAAGTTCTCGACCATGTTCTCTCCGGTGTTCGTGGTGCCCTGCCCGCTGGTGTGTCCCCACAGCGGTTGCTGACCGTCGTTCACCCACCGGTCTTCTTCCAGGTGAGACACGCAAGCCCAAAGCCCCGGCTGGTCCATCCTTCGATACACCGAAAGGATACGGCCCTCATCCAACAGCAAAGGCGTCAGCGTCTGCCCCAAGATGCCGGTCGACAACGGGTCGCTCCAACTCCGACCCCCGTCGCGGCTCAGTGCGTACTGGTTCGGCAAGTCACCCCGCGATGCCTCGTCGTACGCCCAGGCCACCGCCAACAGGCGATCATCGGCCAACTCGATGATCTTCGATTCCCAATACAGCACTGTGTTGCCTGGGCTGTGCATCATCGTTTGATGCACTGTCCAGGTATGCCCCCGGTCGTTCGAAACGAGGGCACACATTTGATAATCATGTGAAAGCCGTCCCTGCCAGTCACGCCACAGCGAAGTGGGCCACAACCAGCGGCCATCGCGAAGCATCGTGATCGGCGAACACATTTCGAATTCGCAACCGGTAAGCGGAGGCACGATCCCCACCGGCTCGCTCCAGTGATGCCCACCGTCGGTTGAACGTGACACCAGTAACTCGGTAGGCACGAATCCCATGTTCTCTGGATTCGAAAGCCCCTCGTCGGGATGATCGGTTCGATCGCTCCTCAAGATGTTGGCCACCAACTCCCCGTCGGCGGTAACCGCCACGCGGGCGAAGTCGGAAGTAAGGCGATCCTCAGTCGGCGGGCATAGCCTCGCCTGCTCTTCCCATGTCGCACCACCGTCGAGCGATCGGGCTACATGCACATGCAGATTGGTTGCTTCGAAAGCTTCACCCAACGTGTACAACGCCAGCAACTCCCCCTCGGGCAAAACAACCACCGAAGGAAAGTACGCGTGCACACTCTTCACGTGCGGCTTGGGGTTCTTGTAGAGAATGCCCGTTTCCAAGTCTTCTAAATGCATCCGCCAAGTTCCTTGCTTGCTAGCGAGGCAACGAAGCCTTCGCCCTGATGCCGAAATGCTTGAGAACTGCAGAGCCGCACTCTACCGCGTGCCACAGTCAGAAGGAACTTGCCCAGTTTGCCGCAAGAAGTTTTGGGCGGCGCAAAAAAAGAGACGGGACACGGAGCGAATGATAGTGATGGCTCTTGAAGACCGTGGGGGTAGTCTCAACGCCGTATCATCCGCCCCATGTCACCGTCCGTTTGGGGCCGAATCGGTCGTGGGGAACTAAGGGCGTACAGCGTTTCAGCTGTGGACCACGACCGTCTCTGAATAGGAATACCCACAGGCGGGTTCAAAGTTTCCAAAAAAATTAAAGAAAGTTTGGCCGAGCCGCCTGTGGGACGAATCCCCCCTCCGGTGAGCCATCTGCGACCCTACTCCTGGCCCGGTCAATGCGGCAGAGTTTGCCGATTTTTTCGATTTGAATGGACCGGTTGCTCCGGTTCTGACGATTTTCAGGGACGGAACCGGACTACCTCGGGCACCACAATCCGCGTCGACGACTCCGGGGGGATCGGTCCGAACAGGGACTGCTGAGTTTCAACTAAGGGGATGCATTTCGTGAACGGTGCCAATCGACTTCCTGCTGCTATCTTGCGATCACCGGTCACCTGGGGGTCCATTGCCTCGCTGGCGTTCTACGCCGCGATCCACTCGGGAACCCTGCATGGTGCATTCGTCACCCGCTACTTTGGGTCCCACCCAGTCGAGTACGTAGCCACCTCGGCCTTCTTCGTAGGTCTGGCAGCCCTGATGATGAAGCTCATCGAGGCCGTCCGTCAGTTGCTGCTGGTAGGCAACCCCTTACTCGAAGAACCACCCGTCGGTGGGCAAGGGCTCGAAGACTGCCAGCACTTGCTGGACGAACTCGATTCGCTGCCCCCAATGGAGAAGAACACCCTGCTGGTTCACCGCGTTCGCGCCGGCATCGAACATGTAGTGCGGAACCGCACAGCCGACGAACTCGAAGACGAACTGAAGTACCTGGCCGATCTCGACGCCGAACGCGCCCACGAGAACTACGGACTGGTGCGGCTCATCATTTGGGCCATTCCGATTCTTGGCTTCTTGGGCACGGTCGTCGGTATCACGCTGGCCATTGCGAACCTCTCGCCCGAGGCGCTCGAGACATCGCTACCCGAGGTGACCGCCGGCTTGGGTGTGGCGTTCGACACCACGGCCATGGCCCTGGGTCTGTCGATCGTGCTGATGTTCGCCCAGTTCTTGGCCAACCACTTCGAGCAGCGACTGCTAGCGGTGGTCGACCATCGCACCGGCGACGAACTCTTGGGCCGCTTCGCCAAGAGCGCACCGCAAGAACATCCCGAGTTGGCCAGCGTCCGCGGCATGGCCGATGCCGTGATCCACGCCACGGAGCGACTGGTGGAGCGACAAGCCGAACTTTGGAAAACCACCATCGATGCGGCCCATGAACAATGGTCGCACCTCTCAGGTTCGACCGGGAAACAACTCGAAAACTCGCTCAGTGCGGCCCTCGATCATGGCCTGCAAGCAGCTTCCGAGACACTGAGTGTCGGGGCCGAACGGCTCACCGCTTCGCAGGCCGAACATTGGGAACGCATGCAGAAGCAACTTACCGCGGCAGCGGAAGCTTCGGCCACGCAACAACAAGAGCTTGCCCGTCATGGGGCAATGTTGGCCGATGTGATTCAGGCCACTGGTCAAGTTGTGTCGCTGGAAGATGCCTTGAACCGCAACCTCTCGGCACTTTCAGGCTCGCACAACTTCGAAGAAACGCTGCTGAGCCTCTCGGCCGCGATTCACTTGCTCAACGGTCGTCTCGGCCAGACGGGCCTGGAAAAACCGCACATCGAAATCGACCGTTCGCCTCGTGAAGGTAAGGCCGCATGAAACGTCGTCAACGGACGCAATCCGCTGCCGCCGTTTCGATGTTCCCGTTTCTGGCGGTCCTCCTCTGCACGATGGGCGCGCTCATCCTGCTGCTGGTGCTGCTGGCCCAACAGGCCAAAGTGCAAGCCGCCAACACGCGGGAAGAAGAGCGTCGCAAGGCCGAGGCAGTGGAAGAACAATTCGCAGCGGCCCATCGCAAGCTGCAGGGCACCCAGGCTGCGCTTCGACGTGAGCTCGAGGATATCAGCTCCACGTTGGCCGAAGAGCGGCTGGCACTGAGCCATGTGGAAGAGCACGCTCGAGAACTCCGCAAACGCATGCGAGATCTCGAACGCCAGCTCTCGGCACTCGAAAACGACTCGTCGCAAGCAGGCGCGACGGAGGACCTGATGATACGGATCAACCAAATCCAACAAGAAATCGCCCGACTGAAGGTGGCCTCGGAAGAAGCTGAAGAGCAAGCCGCTCAGCAGCAGGTTTCCTACGCCATTGTGCCGTACGACGGCCCGAATCAGACACTCCGCCGCCCCATCTACATCGAGTGCCGCGGCGATGCCGTGATCCTGCAGCCCGAGGGAATTCGCTTCACGGTCGAAGACTTCTACGGTCCGCTGGACCCCAGTAATCCGTTGGCATCAGCATTACGTGCGGCGAACGAGTTCTTCGCCGAAAACGCACTCAACGGTCAGGGGCCCGTGGGCGAACCGTACCCGTTCTTCATCGTGCGTCCCGATGGTGTGGTGGCCTACGCAGTCGCTCGCACGGCACTCAGTTCGTGGGGAACGGAGTTCGGTTACGAGTTGGTCGAGCAAGATTGGAATCTAAAGTACCCGCCGGAAGACCGTGAGTTGGCCGTCGCCGAACGTCTCGCGGTTGAACGGGCCCGACAACGGCAGATTCAACTCTCTCGCATCGCGCCCACTTATTACGGCCGCCGCCGCACGACTACGTTCGACAGCTTCGATCGCGGTTCCGGCAGCGGCTCGGGCGATGGCCCCTACAGTCGTAGCGGTGGTGGATACGGCGGAGGCGGCGAACTGGGCACCTACGGCTCTGGTGGCACCGGCCGCGGCGGTGGAGAAGGCGACTACGTCGGGGGCGGGAACGCGTCGTCCGGCGGAAGCGATCGACCGACCGGTTCCGACTTCGGATCTGAGTTTGGCTCCGAAATGGCGGGCGATCAGCCCGGTGAGGGTTACAACGGACCAAGCTCCGGCGGCAGCAACCGTGGTATGCCCGGTGACGACACATCCCTGGCATCTGATTCCTCTGCACAGGGATCGGCAAGCCAGGGTTACGGCAGCCCCGGCAGCAGCCCCAACGGCAGCGGAAGCCAGGGCACGGGCAGCAACGGGAAGTTCGCCAATGGCGATTCCTCGTCACCCGGCGGCATAAATGAGAGCGGTTCTGCAGGCGGGGCCGCACACTCCTCCAGCGGAAGCTCTGGACAAGGTGCACCATCGCCTTCGTTCACGCTCAACCCGCCGAATAGCCTGGCCGACAGTCGAGGGCGCGATTGGGCGGTTCCCGAAGCCAAACGGGGCTCGATAGGCATTCAACGCCCCATCCGTGTCTACTGCCGGGCCGATCACTTGGTGGTCATGCCGGACGACCGAGGTCAACGCGAAGGCAAGATCATCCCGATGAGCAATCGCACGTCCGACACGGTCGACGACCTGGTGAGGGCCGTTCATCAACACATGAAGGCCTGGGGCACCGCCGGCGACGGGATGCACTGGCGCCCCCAACTGCGATTGCAACCCGAGGCCGGGGCCGAACAACGTGTGAACGATCTGGCCCGCGTGCTGCAAAACAGCGGGATGGACATCAAGGTCGATCCGCCAAGCAACATCGTGCGAATGCCGCCGGTTCAACGGACGCGCTAGCACACCAATTCACAAGAAGAGTCCGCT